TGCCCTCAGCTTGCTCAGTGCTGTTGAAAGAATATAAAGACACAATTCTTGCCAATAGGAACATGCATATTAATAGATGAGAGAAATAAACTTGCTTTTAAATAGATATATATGAAATTCTGGAAGGTGACAGATTACTTTGGTTGGATAAGATAGAATATTTGAACTAATGTTGCTCAGAAAATAGAAAAAAATAAGAGAGGTATATTAACCTGCAGAGCCATAGCCCTTGGCAGAAAGAACACTTCAATTAAGGTAGAATTAAACCATTTTTGCTGAAAATTAACCTCAATTTGATAACTCTGTGATATTTACTCTAGAGATGTAGACTCACATATAATCGTAGCCAATGTAATTTTAGCAATTCAAGAATTCTGGTTATCATAGCATTCATTCAGCAATCTTTCTGAGAAACTATAATGTGTTGAGCCACAAGCTAGGAGCTGGGAGCAAAGCAGATAATGTCCTTGCCTCATTGGAACATATAGGACAGGCAGGCCGATAGGGACAACGCAATTAAACTAATCAACAGATAGCTACAGGTATGTCCGTATGAGTCTGTGAGATGACATAATAGGGGAAGCCTGACCTGGTGGGGGTAGTTTTAGACTACTTAAAGTGAGACACAGGGGTGAGGCTGAAGAAACAAAAGAGGTGGAGGTAGGGGAGGGTGCTACAGCTAGAGGGCGGTGCATCACGCTCAGAGTTCGGGGGCAGAGGCAAGGCTTGGCTGGCTGAAGTCCAGGCATGGCAAGCAGGTGCCCTTGGAGGCAGGGTTAAAGAGGGCGTGGGGCTGTATCATGAAGCCTTGTCGATCAGAGTGAGACAATGGTTTTCTTTCAGTGAGTTAGAAAGAAACGTTTCTGGCACAGCATAAATGTTGATAAGATTACTCTGATTTCATTTAAAACTCTTATTAAATAATATCAAATGTTAGCTATTACTGTTTGCGAGCAGGGGGAGGCCAATAAAGGCTTTTAGGCCAAACTATGATATGGTACAGCCAAATTTGCATTTATAACCTTAATCTAACTACTGTCTAGAAACCAGATTTGAAAGAGTAGGTTAGTCCAGATGATGGTGAGAAGACCAGAAGGAGGTAGTCATCTAACCAAATGTCAGAACTGATATGGTGGGTCACTTAGTAATCTGTGGCTCACTGTGCCTATAGTTCACTCAAGAGGTACTTAGCAAAGTTGTGCAAAATTGTATAAATATATAGCTACCTTTCCAGAAATTCTCTTTTTGGCTATTCAGGGGAACCACTATTGAATCCGCTACTTGGCCTACTATAGACTGTTGAGCACCTTATAAAGCAATCAAAACCCCTGGCTTTCAGTACTGTCCTTCCAAGACCGCACTATTCTCTGGCTTCCATGAGAACTGCTACATCTGACTCAAGGAAAAAAACTGAGGAATGAGGAAGTTACCTTTGTTACCCCTGTAGCTCTTCTGCAGAGTCTTCTCAGCAAAACAAGAGGTGCAAACATGCACAGAGAGCTAGCCATTGTATGCTCAGAAGTATTGCTCTGCCTGACTACTGCTAAGCATGTAAACCTTCATGGTGGACCTGCTTATGATTAGTAGAATCGTAATTACATTCAGGATTAATGTTTAATCATGAGGGTTTAGCTCTAGAGGGTTTAGCTTCTCAACTCTGCCATACAGGGAAGAGTCACCAGAAGGATGTTAGAATGGGCATCTTTTGAGCCCATTCATAGGGTCACCATGAGACCTAACTAAGCCCCTCCTGATAATAGACATCCATCAAGGATTTCCACTTTGTCACCTCACAATATTTGCTGTGTACATGGTTGCTGTGTTCAATACTTGCTGAGCCCCAGTCTCCTTGTTTTTCAAAGTGGAGCTAGTGATATTTATTTTGCAGAGCTCTTGGGGGGGAAACTAAGCTAAATATGATAAGGTGCAGAAGGACACCTGATAGGCACTCATTAAATGATCATCCATTAGTGAACACCATCCACAGCTCTGTAGAGGATATAGGGACTGGTCCCTGAAAGATGGAGATAAAGGTAGAGCTTATAGCAATAGTGATTTATTGGCCTGAATAGATAATGACTGTTGTAAGAATCATGTGGATTTTGGGGAGCATAGTGCTCCCTGAGAAAGCAGTGGTGTTCATTGGTGTGCTGTTTCGTTCATTTATATGTTTTTTTTTTCATTTTGATTAGCTTTTAAATTATAAATATGTACATGCATAAACAATGAAAAGATCTTTTCTGTTCTGTGAGTCTCCTTCCTGAAATATCCTGATTATATGCATATATGTGATAGAGCCTTTTCTTTATTATTCTGCAGAAATCATACTATATTCCATTTTACATGTTTAATTTACTTTTTATCATGGAGATTTCTCCACTTTAGTTCATACCTACTCATGAATTGATGGCAGTGTAAAGTGTCAGTGTCAAAGAAAAGAATTTTAGAATGGCAATGATCTTAGTTGTTTGCATCCTTTTGCTTTTACAAAATTTGCCCAAGTCAACATTTTGTACTTAAGTAATAATATCTATAGCATATATTTTCACACTTGGAAAGGCTGGGTCAAAGGTGAGGAATAATTTCTGTTTTTATTGACACTGTCAAGTGGCACTTAAAACAGTTGAATATATTTACCAGCCTGCACAGTTTGCATGTGTGTCTACATCCTCAGCAATAGTGGATAAACAATCCTTTTGACTTTTGCCAATAAGATAAGAGGAGTTAGAGGTACTAGGGTACATGAAGAGAAACCCTGATCAAAGGATAGAGGTGAGAGGGTAGTTGTGAGAGGGTGTAGAATTTAAATTAGAGAAGCTAACAGGTTTCTGACTCTGTGCCAGGCAATGACTGACGAGTTTAGAAGTATAACTACATTTGATCATTATAATCACTACAGCTATAACCACACTAACCCATAAACACTATTCCCCATCCAGCCTTTGTCCACAGTACCTCCTGTGTCCTTCTTATTTCACAGTTGAAGAAACTAAGACCCAAAGAGATAAAGTGTTGTATCCAAGATCCCAAAGCAAATTTAAAAAAGGTCCTATTTTCCATATTGTATATACATGACTTTAGACCAGCATTCTAGTTGGTACTAGTGAGACTGCAAAAGGTATGAATATATCTTTGGGGTGTACTTCATTTGGAGATTAATAGTTGAATTGGTTCAGTTATTTCCCATAATCAGAGAGATTTCCTTATAGTTGAATGGTTGTGATCTTAAAGCCTATTGTCATATTTCACATTGATAATGGGTTATCTGTAAAGTTCTCCTTCCACAAGAAGTACTATATTTACTCAAATAAAGTCTAGAGAAAATTCCTTAAGATGAAAGTTCTAAGCATTTTGAGATTTCAGTATTTTCTCATGAAGGACTAGGGGCACCTCCCGAATTCCACCTCCAGTCCTCCATTCCTCTGGAATCCTAAAACTGGCCCCTCCCTGACACCCTTTTGGAGACTGAGACTGGCACCTGTGGCTTTCTCCTCGTTGTGTGCTACTGCTTCAGAGCTCAGGATCCTGAGATGAGAGGGATCCTCATTCCCTCACTTGCTTTCAGAGTCCAGGATCCCTTTGGTATATGGTAGGCTAGTTTCCACTTACGTAACAAATGTGAGAATTGAATAATTTAAGAGATATCAGTCAGAGGCTGAAGTCCCAGTGGGAACATGACTTACATGGCATAGAAATTGAGTAGATCATCCTTATTGAACAGATAGGATGATGGTTGAGAATGTACAAAAAAAAGTTGTAAAAAGCCATGTATTTGGAATAATTAAGTTGAAACCAAAACATAACTTTTTTTTTTTAATTAGAAAAGCTCGATTTTTAAATTATTCTATTTGGAAAATACCGAGTTGACATTCATTCTTTTAGAGCAGGATACTGGTATTCTAGAGAAAGAGCCACTGAATATATTTGCCCAAAACAAGTAATGTGTTAGTGCCAGAGAATGAAATTTTAGAAAGGCAGTGACTGACCTTAGAAATTAGCCCAGAGTCCCAATTTTATACAAAAAGAAGCTGAGGTTCACCCACTTAGGTGAGTATAAGCAGGAGTGTGGACCAGATTCTCTTGTCTTAGTTTCTCATATATTTTGCTTTCCGTTTCAGGATCCACATTTCCTAATCTGCTAAGAATCTGATTGTTAGGCATTTTGTTCTTAAAGGAGACAGAAACTTATAATTACAGCTGTCTTAAACAGACCTAACTTTTTTTTTATTATATTTTTTATTTTTCAGACATAACTTTTAACTAGAGAAAGCTACACGCAAATGAGACTAGTTTATTTAAAAAAAAAAAAAAGGTTAAGATGAAGTAGATCAAACTGTTTATTCCAATCTAGGAAGCTAGACTGGTAGGTAGGATATTGTGATCTTTGGTTTTTTTTTTTTTTTTGAAATTGCCATTCCACTTTTAGTTTTGCAACAGATGAATAACTGCTGTGTGTTTATGCTGTCTGCTGAAGTCAGGAAACAAGCTAGTAGTGTTTTCTTTGTGAATGATCAACTGCTCAGGACTCGTTTCAAATTAATGATATAAATAATCTAACAAGGTCCTTCACTGTACATTTCTCAGAGCAAACAAAATGCAATGTGTTTTTATAACCAGACAGCTATTTGATTTTTTTTCTCTCCCCCACATTTGGATATAGATTGATATAAAATTACTTAAAGTGCTGCATATAAATGAAACATTAAAAGGGAACTATGGAGGGGTTAAGCTACCCCATTATAATCTTTAGTTCCTCAGTTGCTGCCTCAAGGACACTCCATTTCATATTATGTGTCCATTTCATATCACGTGTCTTTCTCTTGAAAAGTGATCACCAAGGTTCAAGTAACACTTAAGCATAACAGGCCGCTGCATAATTTATGGATTTTTTTTTTGGTTTGTTTTGTGTCCTTGTTTTGATTTAAAAAAAAGAACAGGAAGGAGAAGACTGTGTTCACACTTTAACTCTCATTTTTCTCCTTTCCCTCCTGTCTTGGCAGATTGGGGCCCTCAAGGACTATTACCACTTCTACCATAGCAGGACGATTAAAAGGTCAGTTCTCTCAAGCAGAGGAACCCACAGTTTCATTTCAATGGAACCAAAGGTAAGAAGAACCAGTTGGGTGGGGACCAAGAAGCAAAGCTTCTGCATTTTTCATTGGTAATACCACACTAGTTGCTGGTGAGCAGCATGAAAGCTCAGATTCCAAGTGCTATCATAGTATCTTTGGTCCAGTGTCTTTGCTGCTGCTTCAGCAAGAAAAAAAAGGGCAAGGACTTGATTTTGACTGAAGTGCCATTGTCATCCCTGTTGCATGAGAGCCCAGGGTTATCAGAAGAAGGTGTTATCTTGGAGAAATGAAATGATGTGGGGCTGGGCTGGTTGGGAGAGGTTGACTTAGATGTATTGACATATGCCCTCCAGCTGCATACAGATGTGATCTTCTGTCTGAACTCCATGCAGGAGTCTCTTCCAGAACCCCTATTCAGGCCTCAGGTACCTAGAGTTTGGGCAGTTTTAGCTGGCGTTGACAAAGCCAGGCTGTTGGCAACTCAAGAACTAAACCATGCCTGGGACAGGAGGGGTGGGAACTGACTATTGGGGTTGCAACAGGCATCTTCCCTGCACTGTGTCTTGGTGTCAGTCCTCTGGACAGTACATCCCTGAGAGGACCTGGCAGGAGGTATGACGTGTCCATTTTGGAGAGGTGGGATGACTTTGAAGTGGGTGTTAGGAAGCTCAAGGTTGTTAGGATCAAACTAATCCTGGCAGTGGAAGTGCCGAGGATGAGTTAAATATCTGTCTGAAATAATTAAGTTAGGGAAAGTGACTGACTTCTGACTGAAAACTACTTGACCTCCCAAAGAGGAAAAGAGGACAGCCTGCCCCAGTTTCTCTGAGGGATCACTTATTTATTGATAGGGAAGGATTTTTTTTTTTCCATTATGATTTGGGTTTGCTATATGAGCTCAGTTTCAAATAAATTGGTCAAGTCCCTACCAGTAAGCAGAACAATCTTACCTAAAGATTCCATGACAATTGTTATTATTTTTTTTGTTGTTGTTAAAGCAAAAAGATCCCTATTGGACTTAATTGGACTTAATATGCAAATCAGGTTTGCAATTTGGAGTCCTACCCTCTGTTATGTGCCATGTTTTGCCTGTGAAATTGTGTCTTTGCAGTTAGAGAAATCACTTTAAGTTTTTAAAAATGAAGAATCATTGTTTTATAATTTGGTTAATCCTACATTTTGACAGTATAGGCTCTCTCCTGTCAGGCAGTAGGTATAATCTCTCACCACCAAAAGCACTCGTTGTCCTCCACCAAAAAAGCACATTTCTTACAGGTGCTAGTTTTCTGAGGGTTGTAGGAATACCCATTAATTCTTCCACTGCAGAGGAATATATATTTCCCCCTTTAACTCTTTTTGGTATTGAAGGTGTTTTAAGAAGCAGTCTTTTGGGGTTGTTTTGAATTAGTTAAATTTGTAAAGCAAGTCACATTTTTCTGCCTGTTAAACAAGCGTTTCAATTTTTTCTTTAACTTTGGTAATTAAAATGATTCCAACTTTAGATCTCCTGTGCATAGTCAATATGAATTTGAAAAACCAAGTTCTAGTGAATTTGGGAGGTAAAAGCAGAATGTAATAACACTTGTTTTCATGAGGAAGAATTTACTAAAATACAGAGCTACTTCACTTTTAAATGCTATCTTCGTCATTTTAGGTCTTTATTTCTTATCTCAGTGCATCAAATAGCATACTGGGATCCAGTAGAGACCTTGGATGTAGGACACATTGTAATTGGAAAATCTACCCTTCCTCACCTAGTCCAGAGGAGCCATGTCCCTATGGGCAGTTGGATGGGTACATGCTTAGTCCTCCTTTGTTTTTTTTTTTTTTGAATCAGTGTTTTTGTGCCTTTTGGATAGATACCTAGAAGTGGGATTGCTGGGCCATATGGAAGCTCCGTTTTTAGCAGTCTGAGAAACCTGCAAAAAGTTTTCCATAGTGGTTGTACTAGTTTGCATTCCCACCAGCAGTGCAGGAGAGTTCTTCTTTCTCCTCATCAACATTTGTTATTGCTAGTTGTTGGAAGATGTGCCATTCTCACTGGGGTGAACTGGTATCTCATTGTGGCTTTAATTTGCATCTCCCTTATTACAAGTGATGTGAACATTTTTCAGATGTTTGTTGGCCATCTGCATTTCCTCTTTGGAGAAGTGTCTTTTTAGCTCTTCTGCCCATTTTTTGATGAGGTTGTTTACTTTGTTTTGGGTGAGTTTCATCAGTTCTTTGTATATCTTTGTGATCAATCCTTTATCGCTAGTTTTGTGTGAGAAGATTTTTTACCAGTCTGTCCTCCACCAAGTGGGATGTCTGTTTTTTCATAATGTCTCTTTTGCTGTACAGAAGCTCTTTGACTTGATATATAGTCCCATCTGTTTATACTTTGCTTCACTATCATTGCATTGGGTGCTGTATCTTCACAGATGTTACTGAGGTGTATGTTGTGTCACCAATCTTTGCTTCCAGGTATTTTATGGTTTCCATCCTTATGTCTAATACACTTCGAGTTTGTTTTTGTACATGGTGCGAAGTAGTATTCTAGTTTCATTTTTTTTTTTTTTTTTTTGCATATAGCTTCCCAGTTTTCCCAGCACCATTTGTTGAACAAACCTTCTTTATCCCATTGTATCTTCTTTGCTCCTTTGTCAAAGATTAGCTGCCCATAAACCTCTGGGTTTATATCTAGGTTTTCTATTTGAATCCACTGGTTTGTGTGTTTGTTTTTGTTCCAGTACCATGCAGTTTTGATATTTATGGCTTTGAAGTATAGCTTGAAGTTTGGGATTATGATGCCTCTGTTCTCTTTCTTTTTAATCATGAGAGTTTCTGCTATTCAAGGTCTTTTGTGGTTCCATATAAATCTCATCAGTATTTTTTCTGTTTCTTTGAAGCCTCCTTTGTTTTTAATAAAAAGAATTCCCCTGAGCATGACTGGATCTTACTCTTTATTCCTGCCCTTCATTTCCATCCAGCTGTTTATGTAAGAGGACCTCAGTTTGACCACAGGTTGGGATTTACCCACAATTTTTTTTTTTTTTTTAGTATTACTTATAGTTTCAGTCATTACATTTTTCTTGAGCTTCTCTTATAGGCCTTCTTTGTTAGGCTCAGGGGATTTGGAGATAAATAGGGTTACCCTAAAGAAATTCACTGCAGCTCCAGGGAAACCCAGGTGACAATGCTTCTCAGTGTTGGGGTGGGGGAGAAAAAAGTAGATGGGGGTCTACTACCTTTCTACTCCATCTCCACCTCCCTCCTCAGAAAACTCTGGCCCACTTTTTCCTTTTTAGTGTTAAATACTTTATTTACAGAGAGGTTGTAAAATTGTTACAAAGAATTCCTATACTGTATGTTTCCTAAACTCCCCAGCTATTAACATTACATTTTATCATATTTATTTGATAATTTTCTTTCTCTTCTGTTTACCTTAAAGCATGCACACACATATGTGGGAAAGTATATATGTGTGTATATACAGGTATATAAGTATATATATATTTTTTATAACACTTTATTTTTACATCATTTTGTACATTTTTTTTCCAGGGTATGTTTACTAAAACCAAGGATATTTGATTATATATCAAATATATATAACCAGTGCAGTGCTTACATGATGGGACAACTCTGGATGTTTACATTGATTCAACATTTTCTAATTCATAATTTTGTCAGTTACTCCTTTTCTGAGTCAGGATCACATGAGTTTTCATTTTTCCCAAGTCCCCTTAGTATGCTCTGCCATACACCCTTTTGTTTTCTTTCTCCCCTTTTCTTTCATGTACTAAAACTTTTCTGAGAGCACAGGCCAGACATTTTGTATACTCTCTCAAGTTGGGTTTGTCTGCTTCCTTGAGATTAGATTCTGATTTCTCAAGAAACTCAGAGAAGCGTGGTGTTCTCAGTGCATCAGATCAGGAGGTACAAGATGTTAGGTTTCTTTCACTACTTATGATTTTTAACTTTGCTCACTTGGTTAAGGTGGTGTCTGCCAGGTTTCTCTATTTTAAATGATGACTTTCCTCTTCCTAATTTTAAGAAGTGATTTGTGGGGAGATACTTTGACACTATGTTCATTTCTATGGACTTTATATCTTATCAGTGACTTTCTATTTTTCACTCCCAGTGAACCTCTTGGGGTATATAAAAAGTGCTGGTGAGACTTGCCTTCTTTGGAATGCTCTCTTTGCTTTTGTCATGGCTGTGTAAAGGCAGATGATTTGTGTGATGGAGTACCGGCAGATTTGTAATTTGGGATGATGGTACCCATGTGACATGGCTTGGTGGAAAATCACTGGCAACATAAGAAGTTTTTTTGTTGTTCATCTTTTCAAGGCAGGGAAAGCACATGGGTGAATTGCAGGGAAAAGGTGTGCTAAAATTTACTGTGGCAAATTGCATGGCTCCTCTCCCTCCACCCCCACCCCTGTATATCTCCCCTCCATCACTTCTATTGCTTTTACTCACAACATTCTAAAGAAGAAAATGCAAGAGTAGCAACATTGCAAAAAACTTTTCTGCCTCTGAGAAAATGCTGTGCTCATAGACTAGAGAATAAGAATAGAGTAGATTCCCACATATTAACATGATGTCATAATTAGCCATTGAAATGACGGCAATTTGCAGACTTCTAGGATAGCATCAGTTGGACCAGTGAATCTTAGTGTTCTTATACATCTTTTTTTTTAAGCTTGAAATATTGCAGCTTTAATATTCATTCACTGATCTATTACATAAAAGCATTGAAATGTTATTCTTTTTTAATAATATAATAGTTTATCTTATACATATCTTACCTTTTGACTAGCCAACTTTTCTCCATAAAACCTAAGACAAATATTAGAACCAATGTTAGTGTTGCGCTAACATCCTCAGAATGTTAATCATTTTAAATTATTTTTAGAAATTTTTGCCTGTCCAGTGACATTTTGGTCAAGAAGGGCTTTATATATATGTGTGTATCATTTTTTTAAAAAGATTTATTTATTTTTATGCATACAGAAATGGGATACAGGCCAGAGGTGCAGGGGTGGTAA